GGCATTTCACGAAATTCCAAAGCGAACAACATGTAGAAATTGCATTTAGATGTGCGAAGGAAATTGCTTAAAATAATATTTGCTTTCAAGGGAATTTCGAAATGAAAATGTTTATCTTGAAGCCACAAAATGCATTTGCAAGCTTCTCGTAAAATAATATTCATATCGAGTGTCAAATACCAGGACCACAAAACGAAGTCAAAGGTATATTTTAATCTACAATTAATTGTTAATGGCTTAAATGCAAGGGTCCAACATTCAATTGATTCTATGGATGCCAGGACCAACAAATGCAAGGAACTTCCCACAAGCATCCACAACACTAGGATAAATATCTTAGAGAGCATGGGGCATGGGCAATTTAAATGCAACTAATTTATATCCATTTGTTTGGGTGTGCTCTGTGCATCTGTGTGTTATTTTAATTTTGCTCATTAGGCCTTAGATATGGTAATTAGGGCAGCAGCCAGTTCGTGGAAGCCAAACCAAATGCATATGAACTATTTATTAAAGTGAATCCTTGGGCCTGGCCTAACAGCTTGCACAATTATCCTTAGCTCAGTGGCAATGCAAAATCATTGACTTAGTGTCAGCATCATTATTATCATCATCGTTGGGCAATTCGCTTAGCTAGCTCTGGGTCATTTATGCCCAGTGTTTAATTGCTCAACTAAATTATAAATTGCGTAACCATGGGAAATTCGTGCAGTGGTTCTATTAGTGCTATGGGCAGACATTTGCCCATTTTTATATTGAATGATAAGCAATGGATATTGATTTTAATATAAGCAAAATAAAGAAAAGGAATTTTCAAGAGAAACTTCTGAGAAAAGATTTTTAATGAATTTCAAAGAGCATTTGAAGGCGGATGTCAAAATTTCAATACTTATCGACAATAAGTGGGTACTTAAATTTACTGGAGTAAAGTTAAAGGTATCTTAGTGAGAGTTACGGGTGTACACTGTACACGTATACTTCGTGTGCAACTTTTGGTGATAAAACCTAATCCTGTTCTCAGAATAAATATCATTAAATTTGCATAGTTACTAAAAAGGACACAACAAGCCATCAGCGACTGTTTCATCGTCAGTCAAATATGTTAAAAAAAAAATTGGATTTCCAAAAAAAAAGCCTTTCATTTTTAGTTTTTCTATTATTCTCACGCCTTTGAAACAGTTGCCATTGAACAGAGGAAATTGTGCAGATTTTGTTTTAGTCAGTATCGTCGGCAGGCGACAGGTGACAGGCCGGCAGACAGTTCAGACATTCCAGATAAATGCATATAGATAATAGGAAACTTCAGTTGGTAACTGTCCTCAGCATACCCCGAAACTCGCACCAGCAGCACGTTATTGGTATTCAGCTGCGGGCAGATTTCATTTTGTTTTCTTCCTTTAGAGAAGTAGATGGTGCCTGGGTGTGGGTGTTATCTATCACCTGTCTGTCATTCTTCTCGGACACAACACACCCAGTTGGCCTCCTCTCCCTTCTGTTTTTGAGTCAAAATCATTTTACAGTAGTTGCGGCTGTCGGTCATTGTTTGCTGTCGGTGCTCGGGAGGGTGCTGTAAGCGCCGGAAGTGAGTAGTTGATGCCTCACGGAGCCAGGAAATAAAATATATTGCATCTTGGTCACTAGGGAAAAAAAATTTTTAAGGAAACTACATGGATGATTCATAATTTTGGACTGAAGTATGATGGGGAATCATTTGGAACCCTATAAGGAACATCATTTGGTATCTATAGTATCTATAGCAAAAATAATGGTTCAGAGTCGTGACAATTCCGTAATTAGCTTAAGATTTTACTAGTACATAAATATATTCTAAAATATATATAGTCTGTCATATGATAATATGATAACAGTGGATTTATTATCATTAATTTGGTGTTCGATAGTTGTACATTTTCGAAGAACTATAATTTTCTGTATGCCTATTTTTGTATTACCTTTTATCCCATTTTAGTATCATTTCAGTAGGAACCCTTCTCATACGAATCTGATGGGGTATAAAAACTAGGTTTTGTTCTTTATTCCCCTTCCTGTCTCTTCCCACCGCAATCAGACAATCGAAACCCATATATGAACTGCAATTAGCTTGGGGTTTAGTTTTTTATTCCATCAAAAAATATATATCACTGATAATTTGAGAATTTTCCATCTGCTCAACGTTTAACCGCTCGTTAGACACTACGAGCTATGGTACGGTTTTTAGACCGTAAAAACAAATTTCAAAACTGAACCGAACCGAACCAAACTGAAACAAACAGAACTGAATCTAGCCGCCTCACAAATCTTTAGGCCCCAGAAAAGGTGAAAATATTTACAAACCACACACGACTGCGTTAAAGCTTAACAAGAGGAAAAAGTGCAATGGGGAAAAAGAGTTTATGCCTAGCGGAACAATGGCTTTTCCTGTTCATTGTAAGGGTTGCTAAGTGGGTATATCGTGTGGCAGGAAGGTTGCTGTTGTCACAACTTAAACAGAATTTTCAGAGCATGTTCCAGGCGGATTTTTTGTAGTTTTTGTCCCAAACATGCGAAGAGTATGTGGTCACAAATCCTAGAAACTCACTGGAAGGCCGTGATAAAGGACACAGTACAGAGGATGGCCAGCAGAGGCATGCCAAAATTTGTGGCAAGTCAAGCGCACATCTGATGACCAAGCATGCTTCCCCAAATATTGACATATTTTAATGGGGTTATGGAGTTAAAGTTATACAATTATTTTGTTATTAACTTTATTAAATTTCCTTCTATTAAAATGTAAGAGAGTAGGTCTAACCCACTTGCCAGCAGTTGACCGCTAACTAACCCATTCCCCAAATGAGTACCGGTTCAAGTTTCTCCACTTAAACGGTTTTCGGGATTATGACGATGAGTGTGCCAACTCCATCCCTGGGAATATGCAATATAAATCCCTTAAAGAGAAAATCGAAGTTCCGACTGGTGGGCGAGAAAAATAAATTTGAGCATTAAATTTAATGTAGCCCTCAAGGCTCCATCTCATACCATCAAAAACGTGCCAGACTGGAAACCTAGGTAAACAAAATATTAGAATGTCAGTTGAAGATAATAGTAGTCGTAAATACTCTTCAGTTAATTTCCTTTGCGAAGGTTTTTAAAAAATAAAAAATCCCTGTCCGGCTAAAAAGCTTAAGTTACCTTTCTGTACTCATTCATGTTCGCTTTTAGTCTTCGTCGTTGCGAGGAGGTTCGGGGTATTTTCGGTTCTCGCTGATACTAAAATATTAATATTTATTTAAGGCAATTAATTTCGGTACTACTGAAACACTCCCACAAAAATAGATGAAAAAATGCATTAGTTCACCGAACCGACTGATTAATTCTATACCCGTCAGTGGCAAGAAACGAATATTCTTTAAGTGCACTAAATTTGATCGAAATATAGTTTTCATTTTCAGGTTTTCTTTATCTGCTGTATATGATAGACCTGGACCTCACCCCGTTTTAGCCGTAGCTTGCTGCGGCACACTGTGCTGTATGATGCTATCGTGCTAAAATCAGCCATTTATCTGCAACGATGATTGCCTTGATCGTTGTCTTGGTGCAGGAAATCTCGGTTGCAAAAAGGTATATATTGCACAAGAAAAAAACCACTCTTATTTATTAAATTCGATAATTTCAGGTTTTCAAGTCCCTATTCACAGCTCGGGATTGATGAAGTGAAGTGTGGAGAAGGAAGGAGTAGGTGCTCCAAAGTATGGACGTCTGAAAAAATTTTGGACCAACAGAAGACAAAAAAATATTTAAAGTTTATTATTTTGTGTTATATTAATTTGAAATGTGATGAAAGCGCTATTTTCAAATAAAATAAAAAATGTCTGGTAAATATTTTTCAATTTAACGGCAAGGTTTTTCAGTGGAGAGCAAATGGCGGAGTATCCCTGTCAATACGAGATACGTTGGCGAGTGATCTCGGGGAAAAAAAATCTGACCACAAAATCATATTATAAACATATCCCAAAACTACGTCATGTTTATCACTCATATTTAATTTACATTAAATCAATGTTAAAGGTACTCTCTGCCACAGAGTACATATATTTAGCAGACAAACAATCCCAGCAGACAGTTAACATTTTTATGTAAATACTAATGTTAATGTGATCCACCGGACAGTCCGAAAAATCTCTAATAGGATGTATAAAATTGAACCTGCCACTCAACAAACTTTCAACATTTTTTCTGATAAAAGTTTCGCACCCTGTAAATCCCCAATGACCCAAATTAAAATGGAAATTTGAACTCGCTAAAAACTTTTCAAAGCCAGTGTAGAGGCAGAAACAGATAGCGATATAGATGGAGGTGTAGTGTAGGTGAAAGTGTGTTAAGTGCTTTTGACCTGAGGGCAAAGCCAGGAAAACTCAACGGAAATTCCAAATGAATTTTTATAAATATTTAGGATGGAATGGGGATATTTTCGGTGGCTTTAAATAAAGTCTATTTCGAATGGTGGTTGAAACTCAACTCTAGGGTTTGTTGTTCTGTAGTATTTGACCATTTTTTAAGTAAAGTTCGATTATTTTCTTAAATATTTTGCTTTAGGTTTAAGAGGCCTTAAGCTTCATTAACTGTACCACTGCATTGATTCTGATTAGTTGATTAGTTCTTATATGTTTCTTTGGCTATGTTAGGTTAGGTTAAAGCGGCTGTCAGGCCCGACACACGTGGGCCGGTTTCGGCCCGTTGTGATATCACTTGGAATCTTTTCTGCAATGGGAGACGCGAAGTCAGCAGTTATTCCATCTGGATGCGTTTATAAAGTTTGCAACCTTTCTGCGACAGATTTTGGACATTTCTGAAATGTCAGCTATGAAGGGCGATCTCAATTGTTGTAGCCTTCTCCTACTGAGAGCCGGGCTGGAACAGAACAGGTGTTACACCGTTTCTTCCTCTTCTCCGTCTATACAGCTACGGCAAAAATCATTTTAAGGGGCACCCTCGTTGCACTTGAGGATCTTCACCCCGTTCAGCCATCACGCACCGTCGAAGGTGGGCATGGGAGCGTCCGGCGCGTCCTCCATTCGCGCGAAAAGGGATTCCACCAGCTGGGCGTGGACCTGTTCCCACTGCGCCGCCGTCATCTTCCCATTTTCCTCGCTGCGGTCGATTAGGGCCACGATGAGGTGTCTCTTGGACATGTCACTCAACTTGGCCTTCTGCTTGGGCTTCTTCGTCGTAGGTTGAGGGATAACCACCTTGGACCCGCGTTGCCGCTTGCCCGCCGGAGTATCCTTGGCACTCTCGATCGAGCATTGCCTTTTGGTGGCCATCAGCTCCTCAACCTTATTGGCGAATTCGCCCTTCGTCGCCTTAATCTGAGGCAGCTGCGCGTAGTAAAGACGCTCCTCTTCTACCTTTTGCTCAGCCCAGGCTAGTTTGGACTTCTCCTCTTGGGAGATGTCCTCTTTGCCTTGTAGCCGGCTTTGGATTTTGAGGGCCGCCTTGTATTGGGCCTTAGCCTTCATCCCCTCTCTAGAACGCTTCGGCCCTTCCCTACGCAGGGATCTGGTACCTGGTTCAGGCGAGCGGAGAAGGCTCTGTTCTTCCCTTCTGCTTAAGCTGAGCATGCTCTCCAGGTCCGAGTCTGTTTCGACCACGGCACCCGTGCGGCTCAGCTTGCAGAGAGGCGTTTTGGTGGCAGTAGCTTTGAAACTAATATGACCTTCTCATGCCATATTAGAGTTGTGCAACGTTAGTTGGACTCACAATTAGCCCTGGCCAATACCAGTCATTCCTTTGAAGTTGCTTTCTAAATTAGTTCAGTCATTAGAGCTGTATGCCACACGAGTCGAAGCAACCTTCCTCTGCTTTTCCACAGCAGAGTGGCCCAGATGCCTCATGCATATTGAAATAAGTTACCGGCTGGCACAACTTGTGTCCTAGAAAGTGTGAAAAGTGATCCGATTTGATTGATTCCTATGCTCGTTTTAAAAGCTTCATGCATCCGGAAACAGGAAGCTGCACGTGAGGCTGCCCTTGTGGCAAAGGAATCTTTGCAATAAAATATTGTACCTATGCCAGGAAATCGTCGTCAAAGCAGCGGGTGCAGGAGCTCATTCTTGAACATATATGTAAGATTTATAATATATAATTGTTTATTATGATTATAGTTCAAATACAGTTAGAGATTACATGATTTAGAAAATAGGTCCCGTACAACTTTCCGCTGCTGCTTCCAAAAACCGACTCTGACTATCGACTTCCTCCTATCGCCTTGCGCTATCGCCTTCTACCTTATATCGGTACATCTTACCGATAGTATCTTAAAATTAATGTCATGTCTTATCCGCTTGATACCCTTACTCTTTACATTCGGCCCTCCTGCTCATCTTCATCTGTCCCAGATGATAATATCTCATCGTTTTCGGATATAAAACGCCATAGCTTCATGTTGTCACTACTCGTTGCTGTGATGTTCGGCCCTTCAACGTTTGCCACCTTTCTGACGTCATAGCGACCGTTACGTTTTACATTGGTGACTTCATATGGGCCTAGATACTCGCAGGCCAACTTGCGACCTGCGACGAACTGCGTCCTCTTGATTGCCACCATATCTCCCGTTCTGTAGCCGTGCTCAGCTCGACGTTTTTTATCGTAATTGCGCTTGTAGACCTCTTGTGCCTGCTCGATGTTGTGTCTCGCTTGGTTACGCAGCTCTTGGCGCGCGTTGTTAAACTGCGCAACCAACTCCTCGTTGAGTCGACCCTCAGCTTGGCTATGTATCTTAGTCCCAAACATGACCTCGAATGGCGACGACTTCAATGTTGAATGAATATGCGAATTAATCACCATCTGGACCTGTGGCACATACTTGTACCACTTCGAAGACTCCTGAACCGACAACTTAGCGATTATGCCCAAAATTGAACGGTTCACCCGTTCAATCTGTCCGTTGCCTCTCGCCACACCTGTCGTTGTCCACACATGTTCGACTTTATTCTCGTTGAGAAACTCGCTAAATGCGTTGGATGTAAGCGCTGCTCCTCTATCGCTGACTATGCGTTTGGGAAAGCCAAACACAAATGACCAATCTGTCAGCCTCTTCACAACTTCTTCGTATCCCGTTGACTTGGTTGGAAACAGCCAGACGAACTTGGAGAATGCATCCACCGCAGCAAAAATGTATTTATATTGCTTGGCTGTCGCGTCCATTGGGCCCAAATGATCAACGTGCAGTGTGTGTAGTGGCGTGTCACCCTTGTCAATACAATGAAGATACAATGATACAACAGATACAATTAGCAATAACATTTGCAACTTTCCTTTCAAGATGCGGGATCCAGTATTTCTGCTGAATTGAGTGCATCGTCTTCGCTGTGGAGAAATGACCAACTTCGTGCGATCCTTGAATGATTTCCCTTTCCATCAGCTTTGGGACAACCAATACGTCATTGCCATTCATAACTTTGACGAGAAGACCTCCTTTTAGCTTGTAGTCTTGGTATGGGTGCTGCTTCAGGATCTCTACTGTGACTTTTATGAAATCGTCATTCTGCTGCGCCTTCTTTATCCGAGTTGTCAACTCCGTAGTGACGAAACTTCTTGAGTGCGAGGTATGCTGCTTTGACCTCCAAATAGTAGCTGTGACGTTTGGATTCAGCTTCTGTAGTCTTTTTACTCCAGTAGTAGACGGGATGGAAACTGCCATCAAACTGCTGCAACAATACAGCTCCGAAACCTTCCTTGGACGCATCCGTGTGGAGTTCCGTTGGCGCTTCTCGTGAGTAGATATGTGATACAGGTGCAATTACAAGAAGCTTCTTTAAGGTGTTTAGCGACTGCTGTTCTGCTTCGCCAATGTTGAAAACTACTTCTTTCTTGAGTAGATTCGTGAGCGGCCGTGCAACTTGTGCGTACCGAGGAGTGAACTTTCTAAATAAGCCTGTGAGTCCCAGAAACGCTTGAACTGCTTTGATATCCTTCGGCGTAGCAAACCGACTAACTGCTGCTGTCGTCTCTTTGCCGGGCCAGATTTTCCCGTCCTCAATAATATGGCCAAGAAAGTTAATGCGGGGCTGCATGAAGCTACATTTCTTCCACTTGATCTTTAGGCCAAATTGCGCAGCTGTATTTAGAACCAATTTCGTTTTCTTCATGCAAAGCTCGGGCGACGCGGCGTAAACAATAATGTCGTCCATATAAAGCTGCATAACATCAGAGTTGATTAATTCTTGAAAAATATAGTTTACAAACCGAATAAACGCAGCTGGCGAGTTCTCAGATCCGAAAAGCGCTTTATTAAACTCGAATAATCCCTCTTTTGTGACGAAGGCCGTATACGACTTGCTCTGCTCTTTGATTGGAACATGGAAAAATCCATTTTCAAGGTCCATTATGGTAAACCACTTAGCAGACTCCAGCTTTTCCAAGACTTCCTCCATGATCGGGACTGGGAAACAGTCCATCAATACCATGCTGTTCAATTTCCTGTAGTCTACACAAACTAGAAGTGTACCATCTTTCTTCTTCACGACAACAACTCGGCTTGCCACATTTGAAGATGACTTGCGTACGATTCCTTTCTCGATCCATTCTTCTACTTGCTTCTTCACAGCGCTGGCTTCGTCTGTGGATAAACGACTCGGAGAGTGATGAAACGGCTTGATAACTCTGTCGGGAACTATTTGCAGTTGAATTGGGCACTGCTTTGGAACTTCTGTGGGCATCTGGTAACTGCTCTTTATCATCTGTTCAACGTCTGTGCGATATTGCGGTGGAGCTACAGAGGATGACTCTTCAGTGACATTATATATGAGAGCATACTTATCTATCGACTTGGGATCCTTTCATATCAGCGACGAAACGAAACTTTTTGATGAAATCGTGTCCCAACAGTGATTCGAAATCAATTTGGTTACTGGGTACGACTAGAAACTTCTGGTTAGTCTGCAGCTTATCCACCGTAATCTATGCATTAAAGTATCCAACAGGCTTAGTTGTTATATGGCCAAGACCGCGCAACGTAGTTTTGCATTTTAAAAGTTCAACGTTTTTCATTCTCTTTAACACATTTTCTTTGATTATGGTTACATCTGAACCTGTATCTACAAGACAGTCGACTTCAATGCCATTTATCTGAATTTTTTTCATGCGATTGCGATCTGAAACAACTCGTACTGTATCAACATTATCGGCTTCATATGGACAGTTACGTGAAATGTGACCATTCTGATTACACTTAAAACATTTCGTTTCGGCTTTACAATCTTTGCGCTTGTGCTCTCATGATCCACAATTATAGCAGTATTCTTTTTTACCGCCTGACCCACTTTGCTGTTTATAATTCGGTTTATGTTGTTCTTTATTGCCATTCTTCTCCGGTATGTTCAAACGCTCGTAGATATCGAACTCTTCTTTCAAGGCTTCAAATGATTTACATCGATACATGGCATACTTGTACTCGTTTCTTATATCTAAACCGTTTACAATATGGCTTATGACAGCCACGTCTTCAACATGTCCAACTGCAGCTATTTTTCTCATCTGCAGCAAGTATTCGTGCAGCGACTCATTACTCTTCTTCTTTCTTTCTTGCAGCTGTTGATGAATGTCTGCACTATTGTAGCTAAATGTAAATTCCTCCAATAATACGAATTTGAGCTCCTCATAGGTGCACACGCTTTCAGATTCTAAAAAAAGTTTAGCTGCACCGATCATCTTTCCTCTGGCATGCACATACTTTTGCTTTTCAGTAAGCTCATATGCGTCGGCATTTGCCGATTTGCCATCAAACTCATTCACAACTTTTCCGAAATTATCTGGAGCGACTTTCACTTGGACTTCTCGTTTCTCATCAGCTAGCCCTTTTAAACTTAGCAGCTTTTTCGTCCGATCAATTTTGTCCTCATCTTTGTTTGCCATATTCCCAACATTTTCCATCTCGTTTGCACTCTGGCGCGACGTTCCTGCTATAGCTTCTGCCATCTCCTTCTCTTTCCAATGCACTATGGGAACTTTGACCACTTTTTCTGGCCAAAACCCATTTTTCAAAAGTAGTTAAAATAATATATTTGTAGACCTTATATATCCGAATAACATTGATATTTAATGTTACGCAAAAAAAAAGTTAACAGTGTGCGCCACTGTTAAATGAACAGCTGTTAAAGTCAGCTGTTTGCTATCAATAGGCGAATGTTGGTGCAAAAAATTATTTTTTCGTCTGGTAAAAAGGGTTATAAAACTATTAATTCATCAATTTAAGTGCTTTCTTTACAATGGGTTCGATTCAGACAGGTATGTAATATATGTTTATGAGTTTGAACTGTAAAAATTACCCTCATAATTATGTTTAAATACTCATTTTTTAACAAGTATAAATTTGTGACAAAAATGTGTCTTTGAAGAGGCGTACAAAAAAAGTGACACCTCGTGACCACATATGACTTAATGCATCTTGTAGAAAATTCAATTCTTGTTCAAATCTATATCATGGTTATCTGCGCCGGGCTGCGCAACAATATGCAAT